ATTTATAAATATACATTTTATATTAATCTATAAAATACATCTACATAGAGAAATATGTACACCAGCATACAAGAACTTGGTTAGAAATAGCTATAAATTTATATTAATAGAGGCTTTAAACATTTTTATGATTTCATAAATAATATTTATCAAAATTTTTCTTTAAATTCTTTCCTAACCAAAATTAAGGTATATTTAAAAGAATGACCACAATTCAAGCATTGAAGAGATTTATGCTTATGACTTAATGCTAAGTTTGCTATTAATATCCTTTAATTGTGGAAATTATGTAGCAGCCATAAAAAGAATTTATTAGAGTGAAAGTCATTTTCAATTTATGCAATTTCAGCCTGGTTATTTAGGAATGATTTTGTGGTGTGTTTTTTTTGTTTGTTTGTTTTTTTACTTGATAACTGTTTTGACAATCTCTTTGTATTTCTTTTCCCCCCAGATCATTTTATCTTAGTGAAACTGACAATTGAACTTTGCTCTAGTTGATGGGCAAAATTTCTCCTAGACTATTCACCATCCTAATTTCATCCTATTGAAAATATTCAAATGCCATAAGAAATTTTTAGAGATTTACATTAGCTTTTGGATGGACTTTGCTACAATGGAGAGAACTGTGTTATAGCCCTGGTCCAAGGACATTACCATTTATTGCCCATAGACTGTGGGGTGAGTGTGAAAGTCTCCAAAGAGAAGGAGCATTTGGCAAGTTTGCAGACACCCTGGAACATGGAAGCAAGCACGCTTTGAAACGCACAGCTTTGGTGACACTCCATGAGTCTGCAGGGCTTTCACGCGAATTAGCACTTAAGATCTTGTGTAACAAAATGGACACTGGGGACACAGCTCTAGGACAAAAAGCTACCTCAAGGTCTGGAGAAACTGATAAAGCGTCAGGTAGATGGAGACAGGAGCAATCAGCTGTTATTAAGATGAGCACTTTTGGCAGTCAAGAAGGACAGCGGCAACCACAAATAGATCCGGAGCAAATCGCAAACACAGCATCAGCACAACTCTTCGGTTCTGGGAAACTGGCCTCCCCTAGCGAGGTGGCCCAGCACGTCACAGAGAAGCAATACCCACTGCACCGTCCGAGTCCTTATTCATGCCAACATTCACTCTCCTTCCCTCAGCACTCAGTGCCACAGGGTGTCATGCACAGCAACAAGCCACATCAGAGCCTCGAAGGCCCTCCGTGGCTTTTCCCTGGCCCTTTGCCATCTGTTGCCTCCGAGGACTTATTTCCTTTTCCAATCCATGGCCACAGTGGTGGTTATCCGAGAAAGAAGATTTCAAGTTTGAACCCTGCTTTTAGCCAATACTCCCAGAAAAGTATCGAACAGTCAGAAGATGCTCACAAGAAAGAGCACAAACCCAAGAAGCCCGGCAAGTACATTTGCCCTTACTGCAGCAGGGCATGTGCCAAACCCAGCGTGCTGAAAAAGCACATCAGGTCCCATACCGGGGAGCGGCCATATCCATGTATACCATGTGGTTTCTCTTTCAAGACAAAGAGCAATTTGTACAAGCACAGGAAGTCGCATGCCCATGCAATTAAGGCAGGCTTGGTCCCTTTCACAGAGTCAGCTGTCTCTAAATTGGACCTAGAGGCTGGTTTTATTGATGTAGAAGCAGAAATACATTCAGATGGTGAGCAGAGTACAGACACCGATGAGGAGAGTTCTTTATTTGTTGAGGCTTCTGACAAAATGAGTCCGGGCCCACCCCTCCCTTTGGACATTGCCAGCAGAGGGGGCTACCACGGGTCATTGGAAGAGTCACTGGGAGGCCCCATGAAGGTGCCGATTCTGATTATTCCTAAAAGCGGGCTTCCTTTGCCTAATGAAAGCTCTCAGTATATTGGCTCTGATATGCTCCCCAATCTGTCTTTAAATACTAAGGCTGATGACTCTCACACGGTGAAACAGAAACTTGCACTAAGGCTGTCAGAGAAGAAAGGACAAGATTCTGAGCCATCGCTAAACCTCCTGAGCCCGCACAGTAAAGGCAGCACTGACTCTGGTTATTTTTCTCGCTCAGAAAGTGCAGAGCAGCAGATAAGCCCCCCAAACACAAACGCAAAGTCTTATGAAGAAATCATCTTTGGAAAATACGGTCGGCTTAGTCCCAGAAACACACTCAGTGTTACAACCACAAGTCAGGAGCGCGCCACGATGGGTAGGAAGGGGATGATGGAGCCATTACCTCACGTCAACACCAGGTTAGACGTCACGATGTTTGAAGATCCTGCTTCACAGCTGATCCCCAGCAAAGGAGAGATGGATCCCAGTCAGACGAGCATGCTGAAATCCACTAAATTCAACCATGAGTCTAGACAATCCCAGGCTATCCCATCGTCTGTCAGGAATGAAGGAAAACTTTACCCTGCGAACTTCCAAGGCAGCAACCCGGTTCTCTTAGAAGCTCCTGTGGACTCTTCACCCCTAATTCGAAGCAACTCGATGCCAACTTCATCAGCAACGAATCTAAGTGTACCCCCTTCTTTGAGAGGAAGCCACTCATTCGATGAGAGGATGACAGGTTCCGATGACGTGTTCTACCCAGGGACCGTGGGAATCCCCCCTCAGCGCATGCTCCGCAGGCAAGCTGCGTTCGAGCTGCCTTCGGTCCAGGAGGGGCACGTGGAGGCGGAGCACCACAGCAGGATGCTGAAGAGCATCTCAGGTTCATCCTTGAAGGAGAAGAAACTGATTCCCGGGGACAGGGGAGGCTATGACTACGACGTCGGCCGGAAACCTTACAAGAAGTGGGACGACTCTGAAACACCAAAGCCAAGCTACAGGGACATGCCCTGCGTGAGCTCCCTAAAGCACGGCGGAGAGTATTTCGCGGATCCCTCGGGGCCGTCGCAGGGCGTGCCAAGCATGTTCGGAACCACGTGTGAAAACAGGAAGCGCCGGAAGGAGAAGAGTGTGGGAGACGAGGAGGACACCCCCATGATCTGCAGCAGCGTGGTCAGCGCGCCCATGGGCCTCATGGCTGCAGAGTACGACCCCAAGTTGCAGGTGCAGGAAGGCGCGCGAAGCGGGTTCGCCGTGGCTGGGCACGAGGGCGCTCCCCACGGCCGAAGCCCGTCTCTCGGGTCAGAGGAGTTACCTGCAGCCACTGATCCAGAAAAGATGGCAGACCTCGGGGGCAGGAAGCCCCCGGGGAACGTGATTTCTGTGATCCAGCACACCAACTCTCTGAGCCGACCCAATTCCTTTGAAAGGTCCGAGTCGTCCGAGCTGGTGGCCAGCGCCCAGGAGAAGGCCTCTTCGCCGTCGGAGG